AACTGAATTGAACGAATGGACTGGAAGACATGCATAGAATGGGTTGTCCTAGGAAACAGGGCATTCCCCTGCATTGGAGGTCTCTTCAGGTGGAGGCTCAATTGTCAATGAAAGGGATTTGTGTTTTAATTAATGGGTTGAACTAGGTGATTTCTGAAGTTCCTTTCAACACTGCCACCCTAGAGGATCTTGAATACCAACATAAACATCTTATATTATAGGCAGTAGGAAGCCACTAAAGACTTTTGAGCAGGTAGAATAATGAAAGAGTTGTTCTCAACAAAATTTGTTTGTAAAGTCTATTTAACCCATAACAAAACTGAAATAAAAGTTTCAACTTTATTTAAATAGATATCAAAGATATCTGTTTAAACACCAGATGGCACCATTAGACGCTTCCTTCAGAGTACCTGCCTTCCCCTGATGAGTAAGTGCCATGCTCTCTGTAGTTACTAGGGAGTCATGTATCTTCTATCCCTCAGCTTTGCCTCTCTCTATAGGGCAGCAACACTCCTTGTCTAGGAGTGTGTGGATTTGTGCGTCTAACAAGGTGAGTATCTCTCTAACCTCATTCTCAGAGCAAAAATGGCTTTATTCCAACTTTGGAGTTTCATCACTCTAGGGGGCACTCTGAGGACTGGGGCAAGGAGAAGTGTCTAATGTGACCAGCTCAAATGCCCCTTGATTCTGTTTCCCCTTACTGTTAACTGCAGTAAATAGTGTTCCTGTTCCATTTATCCACTTAATCTCAACCAGCTTTTACAAAGATGTTTATTTCAAAGATATACAATAGCAAAAGTATACAATAACATTCTCCTCCCTAATGCCCTTGGGGGGGGGGTACAGTTTCCCCTATACTACTTCAGTCTCTGGGGAGAGTGGACTCAGATTTAATAATTTCTACATAGCTTGATCCTACCAAGTTTATGCCCACATTTAGCATGACTGCTAGATAAATCCTTGTTCTCCACTCCTGAAGGGCTGGGTCCTGAAGCTCATTCCCTAGGGTCACTCCTTACTTCTCAGGGCATCTATGGTGGACATGTGGCAAAACCCAGCATTGAATTGGAATCCTCCCAGAATCTCAGCCTTACTTGCTCCCAGATACTAGAGATTTGCTCTCCCTTGACCTTCTGAAACAAGGTCTGAGCCTTCTTCACCTAAAAAGAAAGAACAAACAGCAAGGCAAAAGACCAAGGTTCATTTTCTTAGAATAAGTGAGGATAAGAGGGGAGAAGGCAAGGCCTAAGGCCTCTCCCCTTGGGGCAATGACTCTGATTGGCTGAGCAGAAAATGACTGAGGCTCTGGTCAGCTGGTTCCTTCTGAAGACACCTCCACTTCTGGGTACATAGCCAGTTGAAAGGGCTCATCTTTGTCATTTAGTTAGCAGATTGGGACCAGGTACAGAATGTCTACAAGTGGCACTTTCATCACTCAACATCGTGACTTTTGGAAGCATGTTCCCCATCCCCGAAGTGGAGAGTAATGTGAGGCATTCTGGGTTAAGAGAACTTAACACTGAGCTCCCATACACCAACTAACCCCACTGCCTTTTAACTATGCTCTGTGTTCAGTGATTGCCAGTCACTTTACATTGGCATAGTGGAATTGATCCCCCTAGGGTAATAAACTCACATACTGTATACGACATTTTTTACCCTTAACATAAAATGGATAAGAATAAACCACACTTAACATCAAGGTGATGTTAATGTGTAATGAACATGAAATCTTAAAATGAGCATTACTCCTCCAAACTACCTCAGAAGCTAGCCTGCCTCCCCCTGCACGGACATAAGTTTGACCTGAATCCAGGAGTTCTAGGCAATGTACACTTCAAGTCTCCCTTGAACAGGCAAAAGAACTATGATAACAGTTCTCAAAGGCTATTTGATTCACACTCCCCAAAGGACTGGCCAGGAGATTCTGGCACAGAAACAATGGAATCAAGGTCAGCTCATGGGAGTTTGAATGTGAGATCTGGAATGAAAAAGAATTCAGAAGGGGTTTGTCTAGTCACTGCTGGGACCTACTACTTTTTTCTGGCCAAAGTTAATCTATCCTGGAGCAGAATGAATAGAATCAGCACTCAGCCCAGGCAAGTATCAATGCCTGTATCCTTCATTTTTAAAAATTCAGTTTTATTTTCAGTTTCAAATTCCCTCCTTCTCTCCTCACTCACTGAGAAAGCAAGTAAAATAAATCCTTTACAGATATGTGTGGTGAGCCTGCAATATCCATTTTACTCTGAGTGTGGTATCACCCTACTGCTTTATTTCTGCGCCCATTCCCAGCCTCATTCCCCACCGCCCTCATGTACAGCTAGGGGAATGGTGACAGAGTGAGAAAGGTGCTGTAGCTATAATTAAAATAATCACAAAACAATGCTTTTGAAATACTCATTAAAAAAGAAAAGAGATACCAAGTGGAACTATTGGCCCAAAGCAACTAGGTTAAGTGGATAGGGGCAAAGTAGTATGAAACCATCTGTTTATCTATACAGGAAGTTCACAGTTGAAGTGTTCCCAATTCAAGGAGGAACTGAACTATGGCTGTCCCATTTTCTATTTATGATTTGGTGTAATAAATCATGTCCCAGTACCTGTGACTGAGCACTCCTTTCCTAGGGATAAAGATGTTGAGCTTGGTCTCTGAGGATCATGTAAGCTGAATCTGTGATACCTATGTGGGTGTGGGTAGTTGCAGGTAGGGAGGATGTTCTATGTTTTGCCCATGTTGGTTATGTCCATATGGATTTGTCTAGATGTGACTCTCAGGGAGGTATGATTAGAGATACCTCTAGAGTCTTCTCCATTTATCTTTCTCCAAGGGTTCCTGCCAGGAGAGGAAGTAGGAGGTTGGGGCCAGAGGTGAGCCACTCTGCTCTCCTCAGAGAAGGGATACCAAGCTAGAATTATATCTGTCTGCTTCCCTAAATATTGTTAGCCTTAGGGAGACATTTTTAATACTATTTTATTTTCCCTCCATTACATTTAAAAACATTTTAACATTCATTTATTAACATTTTGAGTTCCAAATTCTCTCCCTTTCTCTTTCCCCCTACCTTGGATGGGAGGCAATTTGATGTTAGTTATGCATGTGCAATCATGCAAAACATATTTCCATATCAGTCATGTTGTGAAGGAAGAAACAGACAACACACATACACACACACACACGTGAAAAATAGTATGCTTCAATCTGCATTCAGACACCATTCTCTGGAGGTGGATAGCATTTTTCGTCATGACTCCTTTGGAATTGTTTTGAATCACTGTATTGCTGAAAATAAAGTCATTCACAGTTGATCATCATGCAATATTGCTGTTACTATGTACAATATTCTCCTGGTTCTGGTCACTTCACTTTGCATCAGTTCATGTAAGTCTTCTTAGGTTTTTCTAAAGTCATCCTGCTCATCATATTACATTATAATCATATACCACTTGTTCAGCCATTCCCCAATTAATGGACATCCCCTTAATTTCCAATTCTTTGCCACAGCAAAAAGAGCTGCTATAAACATTTTTGTACAATTAGGTTCTTTTTCCCTTTTAAAAAAATCTCTTTGGGATACAGACCTAGTAGGGGTAATGCTAGATCAAAGGGTATGCACATTTTATAGCCCTTTGGGCGTGGTTCCAAATTGCTCTCCAAAATGGTTCGATCAGTTCACAATTCCACCAACAGTGCATTAGTGTCCCAATTTTCCCATATCCCCTCCAACATTTATCATTTTCCTTTTCTGTCATATTAGTCAGTCTGATAGGTGATACCTCAGAGTTGTTTCAATTTGCATTTCTCAAATCAATAGTGATTTACAGCATTTTTCACATGACTGTAGATAGCTTTGATTTCTTCGTCTGAAAACTGCCTGTTCATATCCTTTGGCCATTTATCAATTGTATTCTTATAAATTTGACTCCATTGTCTATATATTTAAGAAATGAGGCCTTTATAAGATACTTACTATAATTTTTTCCCCAGTTTTCTGCTTTCCTTCTAATCTTGGCTGCATTGGTTTTGTTTCTGCAAAAACGTTTTAATATAATCAAAATTATCCATTTTATATCTCGTAATGCTCTCTATCTCTTGTTTGGTCATAAATTTTTACCTTCTCCATAGATTGATAGGTGAATTATTCCTTGCTCTCCTAATTTGTTTATGGTATCATCCTTTATATTTAAACAATGTAGCCATTTTGACCTTATCTTGACGTATGGTGTAAGATGTTGGTCTATACCTAGTTTCTGCCAAACTGTTTTCCAATTTTTCCAGCAGTTTTTGTCAAGTAGTGAGTTCTTATCCCAGCCAGTGCTGGATTATTTTTTGTTTCTTTGTTTGGTTGGGTTTTTTTCTTTTTCTTTTTTTGTGAGGCAATTGGGGTTAAGTGACTTGCCCAGAGTCATACAGCTATTAAGCATCAAGTGTGTGAGACTGGATTTGAACTTAGGTCTTCCTGACTCCAGGGCCAGTGCTTTATCCACTGCACCACCTAGCTGCCCCCAGATTGTTTTGATGATTACATTTTGATAATACAGTTTGAGATCTGATATAGTTAGGCCATCTTCCTTCACATTTTTCTTCATTAATTTTAAGGGAGTTACTTTTAAGGTGCAAGTTCAGCTCCTGATCACTATCCTTTAACGAGAAAGGAGTTTTCCAAGCTACATATCAAAGATTGACTTTCCCCAGAAATGCCAGTTCCACAATGAACACGTCTAGCAAATAAACCCGTTTATTATCCAAGCCAATAGCAAACAGAAATCAGAGAAGGTATACAGATGAGTGTACACCAGATAATATATATATATATAGTGAATGAGCTTTCCTCCTGAGAGGAAGATATCTTAGCTCAATTGAAAGAAAGAGAGTTTCAGATCTTACCCAAAGGAAAGTTCTCTGAAGTTTCTAATGTGGCAGGCTGGGGGTAGGGACATGATCAAGGTGCCAGCTCCTCTACATGTCACCTTCTTTCTGGAATCTTTCTCTCCTTCAGGGACCTCTTCTTGAAGAGAATCTGGGACTCTTAGTCTTCTCTCCTGAAACTGGAAGTCAGGATACCAAGATGTCTCTTCTCCCTCAAGCTGTCAACAACCCTGGCAGTAAATTAGTCTCCACCAACGAATAAAGTTTTATGCAAGCGTTATACATATTATTATTCCACTTTTTGATATATAGGATGATAGATTTAGAGCTGTAAACTGAGTTTCAAAGATGTTGAATGACTTGCACATGTGGTGAGTGGCAGAGCAGGGATTTGAAAACAAGTCTAGAACAATTTCCTCTGGACGAGGGTCCCAAAGCAATGAAGGACCCAACTTTGGACCCACACATAGCCAACACACATAGACATTTCACGTAAACTTCTGACTGCTTATCACAGAATTCTGGAAGCCAGGATACTCAGAACCAATATAGAGGGAAACCTGAAAGAAAAACAGATGAGTCACCAAGTCACAGAAGAGTCTCTGAAAGCTCCTTGGAGCTCTCGTCTCTTCACTCCCACACATTCACATGCTACATAGTGAATGTTGACACAAATTGGTTGGTTTGACATCTGTATGCTAGTGGTATATATTCCTCTCCAGGATGCTCTCCTGATTCTCCCAGACTTTTTCCATGAGGCCCCTACACTGGGTGCCTCCATCTTTTTCCCTCTCCCCCTTTTCCCCTACTGCTTTTCAGCTCCACTTTATGAGTTGTCTTCCCTCATTAGAATATAAACTCCATGAGGACAGGGAATTTTTTTTTCTCTGCTTGTATTTATATTCCCAGCACTTGTGCCTGACATATAATAAACACTCTATAAATATTTATTAACTTGACATGCTGTTTGTCTAACCAATAATTAGCCAAACTAAATAATTAGTGGCATTTATAAAGTGCTTTAAAGTTTATAAAATGCTTTTAAATTATCTAATCTTCACAGTGACTCTGTGAGGCAAATGCTATAGGTGTTGTTATTTCCATTTTACAGTTGAGGATATAACCTATAATCCCAAATATGGGCCAGCCTCATAACCCTTGATTATGGGCTTCGGTGGGCTAGGCTCAAAACTGGGGACTTCTTAATATGAATCTCTTAAACTCCTGCCCCCACCTAGTGTTTCCCTTGGGAACATCAGAATTTGCTTCTAACCAAAGGGAAAAGGACCTTCAGCTTCCAAAAACAAACAAACTACCCTCAAGTTAACAAAACTGTGACTATAGTAAAGACTGTATGCTAAACAAAAATCACAAAAGACTCATGCTTGAGTGAACAGCCAAAACGACTCTCCTTCCTTCCCTGGTAAGCCCTGGTTCACAAGGACCCATGCTTAGGGGTGATACTGAAGATAACAAGAGAGTTGACCCTTCTCCCCTGTCTGCAAAACCCAAATAACTCAGAGTACCAACAAAGATCACAGTCTGGGTTTGCTCTCCCACATCTTGATTCTGTCTCTGCTCCCTGACTCTAGGTCCTGCTAGGTTCAAGCATGCATTTGCTTGGTCCAGGAACTTGGCATGTCCCAAGTGTTACTCTGCTAAGTATAGGAGTCTTGATTTGAAAACTCCATTGATCTACCATTGCTACTCCATTGGATTGTTCTCCAAGGAATCAGGTCTGAGTCTCTGTGTTGTGTGATGCATCTCCTCTCCAGCTCTATACTTATGATAAAGCCCCTTGGGATTCAAACGGAGCTACTTGGTCAGGCCTTGTCCCAGCTCAAAGCCTCACTTGGTCATTGTTTGGGTTTTGATGGCTCAGAGGGAGCAATTGTTTCTGTTCTGACCAGACACACTGAATGTCTTCCCCTCCCAGTTTGGTTTTTCTTTTTTTTAAGTAGGCAAACCAGGCCATCTTTTGCCTCATTTCTTACCTAGCCTTAAATCACTGAATGGGTGTTGTTTCAGACAAATTGAACCCCGGAAAGACTAGCTTAAAAAGGCCAACATCTCCCACTGCATCTCCAGTCATCCTGACCTATGTCTTGCCACTGGACTCAAATAACCCTGGAGAAGAAAAGAGAAGTTGATGACTTTGCATAGTTCTGCCTCACTTAGATCCAACTCACTTGCAAGTCAAGACATCACCTTCCTCATGTCATTGGTCCTTTTCAAGAACGAAGGACAAACAAGAATAACAATTTCTCATTTACTGTGTCCAATATCACACCTCTTATTCATCTTTTCTCTGCCCTAGTGTCTCCTCCTAGAAGGCAGATTTAAGGCAGATGCCCAACTCAACAATCTCTTCATTTCTCTAAAGACTGAAATCAAGAATCCTCTGCCATTCAGTGGTACTGGGTACCTTCCTCTCCTTTCTCCCCATCTGCATTAGTATATAAAATCCTTGGGGGGCAGGAACTGTCTTTCTTATTTCTTGTATTTGTATTCCCAGAGCTTAGCACAGTGCCTGGCACCTGGTAAGAACTTAATAAATGTTTGTTGATTGATTGAATGACTGTCAGTAGCAGCCCAGCTGGGGTTGGGGAGAAGAAGGTCCTTAGCTATAGGAATCACTCCTGTTGGGTCTTTGGACTGCCAGTTGGCATATAACAGCTCCAAAGTTCCAGCATGAACCTAAACTCTAATTACTTCATTTCCTCTTGAAGAGTGATGACTTTCTCCATGAATTATATATTGTAACTACTATGAACATCGGCATTTGAATCATAACTCTCAACAAAACTTTGAGTAGTCTTTGCCCTCGTCAGACCACCTCTGGGGTACTGCGCTTGTCTCTGGGTGCTACATTTCAGTAAAGATATTGATGTGATGTCCCAAATATAACAATGAAGATGGTGAAGCCCCTTGAGGACCATGCTATCAGAAGATCCATTAAAGGAGTTGGGGATGTTTATCCTGGTGAAGCTGAGTTGGGAAGAAATAATAGCTGTCTTGAAGTGTCTGACGCATTGTCATATAGATGAGGGATTGACTGGCTCTGCTGGAAGAACTAAGAGGAATAGGTATTTGTGTCCAATTCTTCATGACCCCATTTTAAAAAAAATTTTTTAAAAATACAATATTTTTTTTTCAGCAAAAATACTGAAGTGGTCTGCCATTTTCTTCTCCAGCTCATTGTACAGATGAGGAACTGAGGCAAATGGGCTTACGTGACTTGCCCAGGATCACACAACTGATAAGTTTCTGAGGCCTGATTTGAACTCAGGAAGATAAGGCTTCCTGTCTCCAGACCCAGTGCTCTATCCACTGTATCACCTAGCTGCCCAGGAGTAATAGGTAGAAGCTACAAATTCAGGTTTGATGCAAGCAATATTTCCTAAGAATTAGAGACATTCAAAAATTAAATAGATTCCCTCAACAGGTAATAGAATCCTTACTAGGGGTCTTAAGGCAAAGAGTAAACATTAATAAAGCATGTTTTATGACTCATTTACGTAATAGTTGAACTAAATGGTCTGTTAGAATCTTTACAGTTTTGAGGTTCTGCGATTCTGTGATCTGGGAACTACGTGTCCATTTGGGTGGTCATTAACTCCCCTCACAAACACACAGGAGAACAAAGCTAAGTTTTATTTACAAACTCATGGAAATAGATGGGACAATCGTCTGAGCCCATAAAAAATGAGCTCGCAAACCCCCCAGGTCCTAACTGACTAATAGTACTGTCCCACACAGGATTCCATCTGGTCAGAATTCTGTCATTGCTCCCCTCCTCAAATCCTTTGGCTGCTTTGTTAATTCTTAGCAGTTTTCATTCTCCACATTTTTCACTGTGGCTGCTGTCCTCTACAGCTTCAATTCAGCCCTCTTGGGCTTATTAGGGACTCTCCTATCTCCAGTGCCTCTTATCACAGTCCTTTCTGTCTCCCACTCAACTATTCTATTACTGTCTACTGGGCTCCTAGTTCCAGGCAGACTCCCAGTGCCGCAACTCTACCAGAAGTTTAGAAATTATGTTCTTGACCACCAGATGGCAGTCATCACCTTCTGCTTCCTGATAACTGGCTCTCCATTCAGAGCGCCCGTTGCAGTTTGGTGGTTCTCAATTTCTACAGATGATGCAAGTCTTCTTTTCCAGGTCCAGCTCTCTAACACTGCCTCATATGTGGAGGAAGCTCTGAGTGCTTGTTTGTTTGTTTGTTTGTTTGTTTTCCTGCTCAAAAGAGCCCTATTTCCAATATTCTTAATTTTATACATGATCCCCAGAGCACGGAATCTCACACAAGAAACCTCTGGAGTACTAAAGTTAATTCCTTTTTCTTGCATCTTGCAGATAGATTTCTGTCTTCAGCCCCATGTAGGCTAATGGTGATTCATTACTATTTGCCTTCTCCTTCTTTTAAAATCTAGTCATCATGCTCCCTGCTCACATCAGTCCTTCCTGATCTACCTCGGAGTTTAGGAGATTAACCTGTTTTCTTCAATTATCCTTCTGTCTACAACTTCCTCTCTCCCCCCCAACTTTATTCAGATTATTTGGGGACATTTCCTGGGTCATCTAGAAAAAGCTCCTTCTGGCATATGCATCTTTGTGCTGGGAAGAGATAGGGAATTATAGTCTCAGAGACATATTTAAAAGAGAGAGAATTTTAATGGCTTGTTTATGTGACAAATTCCAGAAGAGCAGGAACTTTTCATATCTATACCACAGGCCTTGTTCAGTGGCTTGCACCTAGAATATACTTAAGTAACTGTCGATTCAGTGAATTAATGATTAAATGAAATGCAGATCAAAAACTATGGCTGGGGGCAGCTAGGTGGTGCAGTGGATAGAGCTCGGGCCTTAGAGTCATGAGGACTTAAGTTCAAATCCAGCCTCAGACAAGTGACACTAGCTATGTGACCCTGGGCAAGTCACTTAACCCCGATTGCCTCACCAACAAGCAAAAAACAAAACAAAACAAAGCAAAACACTCTATGGCTATTTCTTTAGATCTTTTCTGTGGGCACCTAGGTGGCACAGTAGATAGAGTGCCAGGCCTGGAGTCAGGAAGACTCATCTTCCTGAGTTCCAATCCAGCCTGACACTTCTAAGTTGTGTGACCCTGGGCAAGTCACTTAACCCTGTTTGCCTCAGTTTCCTCATCTGGAAAATGAGCTGGAGAAGGAAATGGTAAGCCACTCCAGTATCTTTGCCAAGAAAACCCCAAATGGGGTCTTGAAAAGTTGGACATGATGGAAATGACTGAATGACAACAAAGACCTGTTGCCAAGAAAAATAATCTAGAGTAAAATTATGCAGAATGTCAATATATGAAAGAAGTAGTTTTATTTGTTCAGTAAAAAGTTAACAAAAAGGTTTCAAAGTTTAATACTCCACTTTATTTTATGGAGTGACTTCAAAGAGCCTTAAATGTGTCCTTACAGCCTAACCTGAGTACCAAAGTGAGAAAGCAAACTTGTTATTAATATGTGTTCAGTGATCAGGGAAAGATAGCACACAGTATACTAGAAATCAACAGCTAAAATTTTTACCTTGTGTCAAAGTCCTAGCCTGCAACATTTCCTTCATATGGTTTGAATAGTAAGGACTCTTTCTAGCCTATTCCTTTTGTTCCAGTCAAGAAAGCTTGTCAACCTTTCTCCCCCTTACCCTAATCCTACCCCAGGCTTTTTTTCAATTAATTTCTTGAGTAACTTAAAATTTTTTCCTTTTATTATGAACTTAGCAATTATTAGATATTTTCCAAGTTATTTCTCACCTCCCTTGCAAAATTTGGTGCAAAATTTCCCATTTTTGT